CTTGCGCGCAAGCTCTCACATCCTGTGGTGGCCTTTGCTTTTGATGTGGTACTAGCGGCAGCTTGTATGATTGTGTTGGTCTTTACATGGATTTCGAATGACCAGTTGGCGTCGTTGAGTATGCTGGCAGCATATGCCACTATTCCCCTTCTTGTCAACTTGTCAGAGTCCCTCATTCAGAAGTTCATTGCTTTGCATACAAACTAACACCCTACTTCAGTGTCATTCATCTTATTATCGCTCTGGAGTCATTCTACACGGGTCTTGCTGTCCATAGTATCGTACAATGGCTCGCTTGGCGCACTCTCCCTCCTGACTGCCCACATTGTGACCACCGACTACGCCCAGACTTTCCAGAGCTACCATGGCTTGATCGCCTCCGAGAGCGACGAGATGGAGATTATTCGGCGTTATTTGTGGATGAAGAGAACATGTATCACGATGACGAGACCGAAGAGACGCTACAGCGTGCTGAGAGTGCTGCGCAGGAGGCCGAGGCGCAGCCAGAGGTTGTTGATGTCAGGAAGAAGAATAATCGTAGGAACAGGACAAATACCCCTCCGTCGCGAGATGAACCTGCGTCTCCATGGGGCGCCTCATGATGCATGAATGGCGGAATATTCTTGGAGACTGGGATGTATCAGCTGGGTCAGATGAGCAGACTGGAGTTGTGGTATCAGCTAGACTGTATCAGATTCGATTCTTGAATGGCACCGTATCCCAACGATAGTAGTGACCAGCATTAGTTGAACACCTTTTATCAAGTGTAATTAGCAACACTGAGACATCTCGACTTTCAACGAGGGCTCTGGATTCAACCTTATGCAGACCACAGACTCGTCGGCAGTGTTGTCGTATACAGACCTGTGATATATCCAAGTGCATTCTCCACCGTAGCTCTAGGCCCCTCAAACTCTACGAGTCCAATCAGCGATATCTCAATCGGATCTTCATTTATTATATCAAGCCTCTTTCTCCAGGCTATATCCTAGCATCTTGGGGTAACCTTGACCTCAACTGGCAGCTCCGCATTTCCTGTCATCGCGCGACGGCAAGCCCATGCACATATGTACCGTTATAGCGATAAATTATGAGACATCATTCCACAATCAGCTATCGGTGTGCATGTAACCCCCACTGCGTCCTTATCGGAGCGTGCCCCTAGAAGATCGCCAGCTCCCGCAGTGGGACACAAAAAGTCTGGAGCCCCGGGCAGGTCGCGGTCCAGCTTCTGATGGTGGTTGTTGAGTTTGAGGCTAAATACCACGAGCCAACCTCTATCACAGCGCATTTGCTAATGCTACGTCATGCCCGCTATAGCTTCGATTACCTTTTCTTGAATCTGAAGCTGTAATTTTAACGTGCATTTGCTTAGCATTGAGTTTCTCTGCTTTGTTTATGAGAACCATCCTTCATAAGAAATTTGTTTTCATTTCTCACTCCTCCTAAACCCTGAACCTTTCTTTTTCTACAACCAGCTGTTCTCCTAGCTCGACTCGCCCACAACCAAGTACGCACTATCTTCTCCATTCAACGTTGTGGCTTGTTACCAACATCCCGGGTTTTCGAGAATCTTTACTCCGAAGGACTATTAAACTTCGACTCCGTCCAAACCAGTTCCTGAAAGCAGCCATGGCTTCTTTCATTCGTTGGTCAGTCGAAAAGACTTTATCAATCAGTAACTCCCTACTGATATATAATCAGGTACAACGCCAGGTTGGCTGCGCGTCCACTACTCACTCAGAGTGTTACCACTGCATTTCTCTTTGCTACAGGCGATGTCACAGCTCAGCAGCTCGTTGAAAAGAAAGGCGTTGAGAAGCATGACCTAGTCCGAACAGGTCGAATGGCTCTCTACGGTGGCTGTGGGTTCCTCCAATCTTGAGCCCAACAGCTCGACAATAGTTGACATTTCGCAGTTGTGTTCGGTCCGGTTGCTACAACATGGTTCGCTTTCCTCGCACGCAGGGTCAACGTGCCAGGGAACAAGAAGGCGGAAGTCCTCACTCGGGTCGCCTGCGATCAGCTTGGTTTTGCACCTGTCATGATAGGTGTATTCCTTGGCAGTATGGCCACAATGGAGGGGAAGAGTGCACAGGAACGAATCGACAAGGCCTGGTGGCCAGCCCTGAAGGCCAACTGGATGCTCTGGCCTGCCGTCCAGGTCATCAACTTCTCCCTCATCCCCTTGCAATACCGTCTGTTCTTTGCCAATATCATAGCGATTGGCTGGAACTCTTACCTGAGCTGGGTCAACTCCCAGTAAGAAACACCTCATGCTTCGCAGATTGCCTGCCGGTTCTTTTCACATAGATATAGAAGTGTTTCTGTATTCACGATGGATTGATGTTTCTTTCGAGAATCATCTAGATTTGCTTCATGGGTCGGGGGAGTATATGGTGATGAGGAAATGAGAACACAAGCAGGAATCTCGCTGGATCTGTATCATGTTTCGATAGACACTGAATCCCTGCATAATAAGCCACTCAAACCGTATGGCTACCTATTTGACTTCAAACATTGGGTCTGATTCGAGTTATCTTTCGAGCACGAGGTGGGCTGCCAAGACTCATGAGAAAGCGGCAATCGATCTCCGAGGCGTCCATCGGAAGTTGATCGAACTCAGAGGGGTAAAGGCCATGATAGCCGCTGTAGCTTTCGGTTTCCGCCATTTTGAGTCACTATAGATGCTGCCCTGTCGAAACTGCGGAGAAGCCCCGTGATGAAACTGGGTGCATTGGTTGGGGTATGTCCCATGTTTAGGACAGTGATAGGCTGGTAGACAAAAACACGGTACAAACTGGATCATGAACGTCCCATGAGTTGGCTTGAACGGGTCACATGAGTGGTTTGCTTAGCCAAAAACAGAGTAGGAGAAAGATGACAGTATTATTGGCTTATAATCAAGAACCTAGACAATTGCTGAGAAACATAGAGTAAAGATTCTTATATTTTAGCTCTCTGCCCATCCTTGAATGTGATGCTTTTTATGCCCTCAACTCATCAAAGCCGTTATCGCTGCCTTAGGCCACAAATAGTTAGCGTCAGTACGTTGGCCCATCGCAGCGCAGCCTTTTCCCAAGCGGCCAAATCCGGGTTTTGTAGATAGAACCGAACAACATCAGGAACTCATCCTGACCCTCAAACCCGCCCTCTCCTCCTCTCTCTCACGCAGCGGCTCCTCTGCGCCTGGTAACACATCATGTTGCCTTCTTCTATGCGCCGAGTCGTCTCCTCAGCCGTCTCCTCGACCCCTCAGACCGGTGTCGTTTCCGTCCTTGCCTCAGCCACTTCAAAGACCACTCCCGTCTTTGTTCGAAATCAGCAGCGACGATGTTCTTCTTCAAAACCTTCGAAATCTGACAACGGAGCAAACGAGATCTCAGCTGGCCAGTCGGTGCCTGCTGCTACATCACCAAAGTCTGGCAATGAGAAGCGAAAGCGAAAGAGCAGCAAGGATGCTTCCGATCGAGCGGCTTCCATGAGAAAGTTGCCAAGCGTTCCCAACACGCATCACATGTCACAAGAAGGTAAAGATTTGGATATACATCGCTCATAGGAGGGACGGTTGCTAATTGTCGCAGCTCTGGGGCTATCAAGTTTCTTCTCACTACACAGGCCCATCTCGGTCACTCAGACCATGCCCCGAGCGGTTTCCGATGAGCACTTCGCCTCCATCTTTGCCTCCCGAAACAGAAGCAACAAGATGGCTGATACAGATTCCACTCTCTCCAGCGCTATCGAACAGTTGGAAGGGCCTATGGCTCAGATGACCATTGGTGGAGGACACGAGGGCCAGGAAGGAATGCACAAGGTTGATATCAAGAACCCCGATGGTACCGAGTCCAGCATGTATCTCCAGATCGACACCATGTCGGGCGAATTCCTGCCTTTCCGGCCTCCACCTCTGCCTCAACCCCAGGCTGCTGGTCAGGCAGATAGTGCCGTTGCCGATATCGAAGCCGCCGAGGACGTTCCCCAACACCGGATGTACAAGGCTCTTTTCACCATCGAGGAGTCCATCGATCCGGATGGCCAAGTCCGTATCATGGCTCACAGCCCTCAGATTGTGCAGGACAACCAACCGCGAAGCTTCCTCGAGCGTCTGGCTCTTCGCCAGCTCAAGTTCGACGAGGCCCAGGGCCGCCGAGACATGCACGCCATCAGCGTGAAACGACAACGAAAGCTCAGGATGAAGAAGAAGAAGTATAAGAAGCTTATGAAGAGGACACGAGTCCTGCGCCGCAAGTTGGATCGAACTTAGACAAATGTACATATTTCCCTGGTTGTTGGAGTCATGTTCCTCATTTTGATCTCTCGCATACGGGGCATATCGAAGGATATTTTTCATTCGTGGTGTCTGGGAATTGGAGAAGAAGATCTCTCACTTTGAGTTTGGGCTGTGGCATCGCGCTTTGAGACTTTTCTTATGTTTCCATAGACTCGCGCAGGTAACAAGCATCATGTTCAAATGGTTGAGATATCTTCCGTGGTGACCTCCGTCTCAGATACGCGAGTCATGTATAAATAGCTGTACAATTCACCTGTTGGTCCTCAAACATAGGTAATTTAGGTTCAAGTAACGTCGATCTTGATATCAAAAGCTTATGTGTTGTGACTGATATGTCAAGAATAAGTTAGTAATGCAGTAAAAGTCATATAGCTCATATCGAAAGCCTCCAATAGGTCAAAGAAACATCTCGTGAGTTACAAAGTCAATCAAAATTGGCCAAGGTATTTTACATCCATGTCCCTCAGACCATAAACAACCTCTTAAAGACTGAGCGCCACTATATTCAACCTCTAGAGTTCTCGGTGACTGAAGCTTGGTTCGGTAGAGGCCCCACTCCAACCTATCTTACCAAAGTTCACCGCCCGGCAGAAACTTATCGACCGCCAAAATTTTGGATTTTTGAGACGCTGGGTCCCACCTCGAAAACGAGATCGCATTTGCGCCAGCGTATTTTCAGAACAATTGATCTGAAGACGAACCTGAAAAGATGCAGCGCAAGGCGGTGTAAGTGTTAATACTATGATGTAGCCCTGAATCTCTTCAACTGACATCGTTATAGTGACTCGCGCATTCCAGCGCTCATTCAAAATGGCCTGCAGGAAAAGAAGAGAAGCTTCTTCGTCGTGGTGGGAGACAGGTCGAAGGACGTGATCGTGCGTCTGCATTATATCATGTCCCAGTTTGATATCAAGCAGAACAAATCAGTTCTTTGGGCTTACAAGAACAAGCTCTTGGGCTTCACCAGGTTAGTAGATCTTGACAATCTCTTTCCTCGAGGCGACACAGCTAACCCAAGCTTTACAGTCACCGAAAGAAGCGCGAGCAAAAGATCAAGAAGGAGATCAAGCGAGGAATTCGAGAAGCCAATACCGAGGACCCCTTCGAGCTGTTCGTATCGCTACACAATATTCGATATACCTACTATAAGGAGACCGACAAGATCCTAGGTCAGACCTTCGGCATGTGTATTCTCCAGGACTTCGAGGCCATTACCCCCAATATTCTCGCCCGAACGATCGAAACTGTCGAGGGTGGTGGATTGGTTGTTTTGCTCCTCAAGGGCATGAACAGTTTGAAGCAGCTTTACAGCCTGTCAATGGATGTCCACTCACGTTATAGGACAGAGGCCCACGACGATGTAGTGGCGCGTTTCAACGAGCGATTTATTCTCTCTCTGGGAAGCTGCAACTCTTGCTTGGTTATTGATGACGAGATGAACGTTCTCCCTATCTCAGGCGGAAAGGGTGTGAAGAAGCTTCCTCCTCCGGACCTCGACAATCCCAAGACAGAGTCGCAAATTGAGCTTGAGGCCATGAAGGAGCAGAACGAGGGACGACAGCCCGTAGGACCTCTTATTTCTCTTGCCAAGACTGTCGACCAGGCCAAAGCTCTTATCACATTCACAGATGCCATCGCTGAGAAAACCCTACGGAGCACAGTTACTCTTACTGCTGCTCGTGGTCGTGGAAAGTCTGCGGCTATGGGTGTCGCTGTCGCAGCTGCTGTTGCGTATGGATACAGCAACATTTTTATCACCTCTCCCTCACCTGAGAACTTGAAGACTCTGTTTGAGTTTGTCTTCAAGGGTTTTGACGAGTTGGGCTATGCTGACCACGCCGATTACTCTATTATTCAGAGTACAAACCCCGACTTCAACAAGGCCATCGTTCGAGTCAACATTCACAGACAGCACAGACAGACCATTCAGTACATTCGACCTCAAGATGCACACGTGTTAGGGCAGGCCGAGTTGGTGGTTATCGATGAGGCTGCGGCTATTCCTCTGCCTCTTGTGAAGAAGCTCATGGGCCCTTATCTTGTCTTCATGGCTTCTACTATCAACGGTTATGAGGGTACAGGTCGATCTCTTTCTCTCAAGCTCATCAAACAGTTGCGAGACCAGTCGCGCACTGCTACCACAGCTGGCGAGGGCATGGAGATCACTGATCGATCAACTGGTAAGACCTCAAAGACCGAGGAGTTCCAGGCAGGACGAAAGCTGCGAGAGATCACATTGTCTGAGCCTATTCGATATGCCCAGGGAGATGCTGTCGAGAAGTGGCTCAACACGGTTCTCTGCCTCGACGCGACTCTGCCCAAGGCCAAGTCGAATATCAACGGATGCCCCGACCCTACACAATGTCAGCTCTTGAACGTCAACCGAGATACTTTATTCTCCTTTCACCCCGTGTCCGAGAAGTTCCTTCAGCAAATGGTTGCGTTGTATGTAGCTAGCCACTACAAGAACTCGCCAGACGACCTTCAACTCATGAGTGATGCCCCCGCACACGAGCTCTTCGTTCTTGTTCCTCCTGTTTCTGAGGATAGCTCCAGACTACCCGAGCCTCTGTGTGTCATTCAGGTTTCGCTGGAAGGAAAGATCAGCAGACAGAGCGTCCTTAACAGTCTGAGCCGAGGACAGCGACCATCTGGTGATCTCATTCCTTGGCTTGTCAGCCAGCAATTCCAAGACGAGGAATTTGCTTCCCTATCTGGTGCCCGAGTGGTTCGTATTGCCACAAACCCTGAGTATGTTTCAATGGGATACGGTTCCAAGGCTTTGGAACTGCTCGTTGACTACTACGAAGGGCGCTTCGCCAATCTATCCGAAGATGAGGATCAGATTATGGAGGAGACAATGACTCGAGTTACTGATGCTGAGCTCGCCAATGCCAACTTGCTCGACGATGACATCAAGGTTCGGGATATCAATAAGATGCCTCCCTTGTTCGCCAAGCTGTCAGAGAAGAAACCCGAGCGACTTGACTATGTTGGTGTTAGCTACGGATTGACTCAGCCTCTTCACAAATTCTGGAAGAAGGCCTCCTTCGCGCCCGTCTACTTAAGACAGACTGCCAACGATCTGACTGGTGAGCACACATGCGTCATGCTGCGGCCCCTTGAGAACAGTGAGGACCGAAGCTGGCTCGGTGCTTTTTCCAGAGATTTCCAGAAGCGTTTCCTGTCCCTCCTGTCTTACCAGTTCCGCACATTCACTCCTATCACTGCCCTTAGTATCGACGAGGCCGCCAAGTTGGGAGCGCAGCTGGACTCAGTTGAAGTTCAACCATTGACCAAGGCTGATCTTGATGTCTATATGAGCCCTTTCGACCTGAAGCGACTCGAGTCATATGCCAACAACATGCTTGACTACCACGTTGTTCTCGATCTTGTTCCAACCATCGCCCACCTCTATTTCACAGGACGCATCAAGGGAGATGTTACTTTATCAGGCGTCCAGCAGGCTGTCATGCTGGCTCTTGGTCTGCAGCGCAAAGATATCGATGTGGTTGCCCAGGAGATTAACATGTCCACCTCTCAAGCCCTTGCTATGTTCATTAAGATGATGCGAAAGGTTACTAAACACTTCGCCGGTCTCGTCTCTGAAGCTGTGGGCGCAGAACTTCCCAAGGCTGAACGTCTTGGTGTGAGTCGCGAGAATGCTAGTGGCGCACACGACGATGAGATCGTCGATGAACGTTACGTTCCTCTGACTACAACATTGGACGACGAACTCGAGGAGGGTGGTGATGAAGCGATGAGGGAGCTCAAGAAGAAGCAAAGAGAGCTCATTGACTCTTTGCCCCTTGACCAGTAAGCTTCACTGAGATACACATGCAAGGACATCTGCTAACAAAAAATAGATATGAGATTGAAGGAGATACTCCTGCTTGGGAAGAGGCGGAAAAACAGGTACTGAGTGCGACAAAGCAGGGCAAGTCAAACCCTGTGGTCAGCGTAAAGTCAGCCAAGCAAAAGAGAAAGGCCGGCGGCCAGACAGCGGCTGAGGTGTATGAGGAGGCATTTGGCGAGAAGAAGAAGAAGAGCAAGAGGGTGAAAAAGTCGGCGTGAAAGTGATGAAGAATATCCTAAAGTTAGGTTTGGCACATGGAACGGCGTTTTTCTCGATAGACAGACGTGTTTAATCAATATACTGTTTCAATATGACTGCATTTTACTGACTAAGGGGGATTGTCAATGGTTTGAGTAAGGAGGTCAGCTTGTATTAGAAATACTTCCATTAAGCAATGATATCTGCGTGGAAATTAGGGGTATCAATTTGTTGCTGTGCTACAGTTACAAAAAAGCTCTATGGTTTTATCACCAAAACTCGGAAGACTGTACATCCAATGCGAGTTGAGTGCCTTCATTCTTCCACCAGGGAAGTCCCCAAGTCTATCCTTCAAAATTACACCCAAATGTCGTTCCCAGAAACTTCTCTTATTCAACAAAATCACCGTCACGTCCCAGGTCCATCATAGAGAAGAACAAGTTCATGATAGAGACGGCCGGCTCCTTGTACTCTCGAACGAGTTTGGGTTCAGGATCGCGGGCACGGTCGGGGACATCACCGTAGAACAGATCTTCGGGGTCAACCTCAGAGGCCTCGGAGGCGGCATCGTTCAAAATCTCGTTTTCTTGAGTTGAGTTCTCGCTGTCAGCATCGTAACTATCTTCATTGCCATCTTGATTACTCCCTTCTCCAAAGTCTGTATCTGTATCGGTATCTGCAGACTCGAGACTGTCGAAAGACGTGACGGATTCAAGGTCTCCCATCATATCCTGGCGAATCAAGAACATAAAACTCTCGGGCTTCTTGCGAGGAGGAATAGGCTTCTTCTGAAAATACTCACGAGCAAACTGATCCTCCCATTCCTCCAACTTCTCATGAGCGACGAATTCACGGGCCAATTTGATCTCAGGACCCTCGTTCCGGGCGTTCCCAAAACCTGGGAGGATGCTTCCAAACCACGAGAGGCAGATGTTATTATTGGGACAACCTGTGAGCATAGGCTGGAACTGTTTCATACGAAACTTACAGTCCCATGCTGGCGGGATATGTCGTCGCTCGCGGTTAGCCACTTGTGCATCGACGTACCAGCTGTGACAAGGGGTGACATAGATACCAATGTTGTCACCACAATGGCAGCATTGCTGGACGACCTCTTGACACATTTTTGGTGATGTTTTCTGTGGTTTCTGGGAGTTTGTTCTGAAGTATTGTGGTAACAACTGTGTTTCAGGTATGGACAAGTGGTTGATTCCTGAAGGGCATGTGTAAGGAAGGGGAAGGGTTTTGGGAACTAGCATTCTACGAGAGGACAGAGCTGAACTATTGGACAACGAACACTGTAAAGTGAACAGCTGAGACTTGAAGAAACAGTGGCACACTGAACAATGAGTAGCAGTGACAGTGGCAGCGAGTTGCTATGTGAGGACAAAGACGTGATTCGCTGGAGAACATGTAGCCACTGGTTCCTAACCATGGCCTGGACTATTTACAACGGAATGGGATTCGACTTGAATCAAAGTCTGGTAAGGTATCAAGTTGTCTCTTATTTCGATCATTGTTTCTGGGTGTTTATTGTTTCTGAGCATCTGTCGATGATGGGCGACTGACACAAGACAACAAAATCTCACCACCACAATACAGCTTCAAACCACCAAAAATATAACGAATAAGCAAAGCAAAAGAACATACAACACCAGGTATTCGCTGGTCGTCACCGACCCAACTACTAATCCGGCGCTTCGCGGCTTGACTCTGGGGGAACAGACGGGACCCCGTATTCTCCACGAGCTGTGGTTGTATGTGGCAGATCGAAAAGCACAACAGCAAGATGAAGGTGAATTCAGATAGCATATTCAATAGACTCCTTACTTTACTCGTAATTTACCTTTTGTCTCATAACGCTCGCCTTTCAGGACTTTCTCCGCTCCCAACTGGTGCCTGGCTGGAGCAGCTCTCGTTCGGACAAGTCTAAGGTGTTAGTGAGCTACAAACCTCTTGAACGACTCCAAGATCGTGAGACACAAAGTATGCGACAGTTTGGATCAAATGATCACTGTCACTCCGAACCGCTTCTGGATCTAGGTTAATACAAGGTCCGCAATGCTTCCATTTCAAGGATGATCGTGGCCCAACATTCAGGGCATAAGCGACTTGTTCGCGACACACGATGATTTATATTCTCTCTCTCTCTTCTCTTCTGCAAGGGGCTCAGTATGTAAGGTGTTATCGAATTCTTCAATTGTTTCAAGGTGTTGTGGGATGGATAGATCTGAAATTGTCTGTGTTGGATGGAACTTATAGACGAAATACCTATGTGAAGTAGAGATGTACGTAGATTATTTGCACCCATTACTATGAATAATGGTAGACGAACACAATACAACTTGAGGGGTGAACAGTGATTGGTTGTTCAAGTGGCGATATGAAAGAGACTTGAAGCATGTCAGTATATCACGGAGGTCCAAGGTGCGGTCCCGTATCATGCGGAGGATTACTCGAACTAGGTACGCAAAACTCGAATCATTAACAACAGTGTTTCTACTCACAGCAAGTCCCATACTATCAGCAATTGAGCGCCCTCGGAGAGAAAGAAGACTTGTGACGTTAAGATATCCCAAACTTACCCAAGTCTTTTTAGTACTTGGGGTAGAGGTCCTAAGTTTCTTGCCTCTCCCAGAGAGTATCTCATACTACGATCAGACGAGAAAAGGTTGGTTGATAGGAGGGATAGAAGAAAGATGGAGAGAACATCAGTATAACCGATTTTTGCATTCTCCATATTCAGAGACACCTCCACCAACAACCTTTCTTCGCCATGAGCAGGGTTTTTTTATTTGGCCCTCCGACGTGGTATGCATCAGTTCACAGGCATGACCTGATAGGACACAGTGTAATACTTTCGAGACACGCCTTTGTCTCAATGAAACACAACCGTGTAAGTGACAGGCCATCAATACAACCCCACCGCGGGGTACCAAACATGGAGAAGGAAAATGGTATCTCATGAGACTTACGAGTCCAACTCGGATCATGCTATACTAGTATAGATACAAGTAAGCATTAGAATCTAACAAAACCTTGTATAATCGTCGAATAAGAAACAAAAGACACAATTTCCGTGCCCAAGTCCGCAAAGGCGCAGCACCAATCCTTAATCCTCTATATCCGATTATCATGCACGTTCTTGGGGTTCCAACCTTGAGTGCTCCGATCTCGGCGGTGGCTCCGGCAACGTTGGCATTGTTCTTGATCATTCCCATGTAAGCAATCCGGGTATAAAGAGGCAGTAAATCCTCTTGTTTCATACTCTTGGATTCATTCATACAGTTCACACTCTTTACAATCGCAACGATGGCCGAACAGAAAGATAGATGGTCTACCAACGTGCGTGTTCGTTGTCGTTGGGGGAGCTTCACACTTACACCAAATCCAGGCTTACCAGCACTCAGCTTCTTTTGTCCCCAAGCTGGCAACAAAAGTTGTTCAATGGCTTAATTTACAGAAAGACGATGTCCTTCTTGATATCGGATGTGGAGGTATGTACTTGAGTCCCAACTGGGACCATAGACCAGAGACTGATCGTCTAGATGGCATCTTGAATGCCGAGTTCGCAAAGATCTTGGCACAGGGAAGCGGTTCGATGCATGGCGTTGATAGCTCAGCTTCCATGATTGAAGCTGCCAGAGAGCTATGCAAAGGTTCTCAGAACGCTACCTTTGATGGTAAGCCAATCAACCTAACTGCTTATCCCTGATTCACTGACTATTTGTAGTCTTGGACGCTACCCAGCTCGTCTCTAAGCCAGAATTGCAAAAAGGAGCATTCACCAAGGTTTTTTCCAATGCAGCTATGCACTGGATTCTCCGCCCAGAAGATACTCGTGCTCAGTTCTTCAAGGGTGTCTACGCTTCACTGGCCCCTGGTGGTTCATTCGTCTTCGAGATGGGCGGTTTCGGTAACGTTTCTGAAATGCGAACTGCTGCTCTTAGTGCTGTTGGTCGTCGCATTGGTATGGAAGCCGCTCTTGCAGCTGATCCATGGTTCTTCCCTGACGAAGCATGGGTCACAAAGGCGCTGCAAGACGTAGGCTTCGTTGTTGAACGGGCTGAGCGGGAGTGGCGGCCAACACCAACTGACAAAGGCGGTGTTGAGGGTTGGATTAGACTCATGGCAAGTCAGTTCATAGATGCCATTTCAGATGAGAAGGAGAGGGAGGAAGCTGTGCAGGAATGCGTGGGCGTGCTGAGGGAGGTCTGTCGTAATCCTTCTGGTAGGGAGACGATACATTATGTGAGGCTCAGAGGCGTAGCGAGGAAGCCTGAATAGTGGTGAACCATGAGCTAGGTATGACTGATAGTAACTGTAGCATGGGGAAACGTCAAATAGAAACGCCTCTCCATCTTGATAGAAATCTTGTTAGTGGTATTAAAGCTCCACCGATATCGGTGCATCATTGTGAGGATCTTCTAGAACGATGCCCGGCCGTAAGAATGCAAGTTGCGGTGATTAGTCAGTCACGTCAGTGAAGCTCGGAAATTTCTAGGCGACTTGCGTCAGCGTCTGTAACTGCGAATTGTTCAAGTCTCGTGCAATCACTTGCCCCAGGGGCAATAAAGCCCAAGGCACCTAGACTTTACGTGGCCTATTGACCTCCAGTGGTTCCTCCAAAATACTTACTTCCTGAATATAATGAATCCTTTTGTATTACATCAAGATTGCATTCTAGATGATACCTAGCTCATGAAGTCATTTCTTCCATCTCTATTGCGCTGAAACACCTGCATCGATCGTGAAACCACCACAACTTACCCTGCAAAGGCACGACATCATCATGCCCGAACACGATGCACTCGTGTTGTCGTATAGCCACTTGGCCAAGCTTCCCAGAGCGAACGATGCCCTGCAGACCTTGAAGAAAGTAGCTTCCCTTGTGAAGCCTATAATGCGAGCGCGCAACTGGAAAGTCCGAGAGTTGGCCGAGTTCTATCCTGAACAACATAATCTTTTAGGTAGGCCCCAGATGAACTTCTCCAGGTCATCGACCATATTAAATGTAGTTCATAGGTCTCAATATCAACCGAGGAGCCAAGATATGTCTTCGTTTGCGACATGCTGGGGATAAAAACCAGTTTATGCCTATCGAAAGTGTTGTCGATACAATGCTACACGAGTTGTCGCACATAGTCCACGGCCCTCACGATGCCAGGTTTCATGCTCTTTGGGATCAGCTCAGAGATGAGCACGAGGGTCTGGTTCTTAAAGGCTACACAGGAGAAGGCTTCCTCTCAGAGGGGCGGCGTCTTGGAGGCTCAAGAATACCACCCCTTGAAGCTCGTCGAGTGGCACGAGAGGCTGCAGAGAAGCGACGAGCTCGCCCCGGTACTGGATCAGGCAAACGTCTAGGGGGCTCTGCTCCTCGGCCAGGTGAAGATATTCGGAGAGTAATTGCGGATGCTGCCGAGCGGCGGAGCAGGATCCTCAAGGGTTGTGGCACAGATAACCTCAGCGAAACTCAAATTCGCAACATTTCAGACAATGCCACAAAGAACGGTTTTCGAACACAGGCCGAAGAAGACGAGGCTAATGATGCAGCCATAGCTCAAGCCCTGTGGGAACTAGTGCAAGAAGACAAATCTGTCGAATACGGCAACTCTTACATCGCTCCCATGGCGGACAACCCAACTGGAAATGGAGGCGGATCAGTAATCCCGCATAGGGGACCTGGTGGTAGTTCGGAGAGGTCTAGAGAGCCTCCAGGCTGGACATGCAGCACTTGTACTCTGCACAATCCTGCTAACTATCTATGTTGTGACGCCTGTGGGATGGAGCGGTCCGAGATGAGTCCAAGGTCACAACAGGTTAAGAAAAACCGCCGATCCAGATCGCCAGTATCGCAACCTGCTGTTATTGACTTGACGACTTCGAGTCCGCCACGAGATCGGCAGAAGTCTGCCACAACATCGCGGAATTCAAGACCAAGAGTCACAAGTCAAGAAGCTGCATCGTCGGGACCACAGATGTGGGAATGTAGTTTTTGTGGGACGGTCATGGAAAAGAAGTGGTGGACTTGTTCGACATGTGGGAAAATCAAGGACAATTCACGATAGTTAGTTTGAGAATTGCGCTGCGGTTGGTCAACAATACGAACTGGGGAGAATCAATG